TGAGATTATCTCAAACAGAGATTTTAAAATTAGTGAATGTTTTTTACTTTAATACCTCATGACCCTTATTTTGCCATTTGTAAAATCACTATAAACCAATTAATAGCTGTGAAACACTAAAACATACAGTAAAAATGTAAAGAGGAAATGAGTCATTCTGTCTATAGCAGACTTCAGAAAGGTTCAGTAAATAAATCAGAGAGTCAAAACACTGACCAATAAGGGTGACATAACATACTGAATAGTGGCTTATTAGAAAGGCAGTGTCCATCCAGGAGCTAAGAAGCCAAAACTTGTGTGAAAAAAGTGAAGTCAGGTAATTAAAGAGCTGCATTACTATGCCCATGCTCAGGGAGAACAAATCTAAGGTTCCAGAATGACATGCTGCAAGTTTGACTTTGCAACCTCTGTAATAGTCTCTTAACCCAGTATGTCTTTTTTTACCCCTCTGGGTTAAAAAAAAAGTAATTAAAAGCTTACTTATGGCCTCTGTCTTTTTGACACCTGCAGACAGAGCAGGATCAAACAAAAAGCATGTAACTTGCCCCTCCAAAGGACAGCACTTGATGAGGCAGTGTGAGCTGACAGCACCATACTTTGCTAGGTGACACATGGAGGTTTGCAGAAAGCAGGGGAATGAGGAGACTGGGGGGGATACAGAACCCCTCCACGGTCTTGCAGCAGGATGTGGTGAGAGAAGCCTAGCCTTCCTATCCATTTCTTCCAGTTATGTCCCTTTTTGTTTGTCTTTAACCAAAGTCCTCTCTCAGACCTCTTTCTTCTGCATCCCCTGTCACTTCACCCGGCCAGCTCTTCCCTTGTGGCCTTGCAGCTGAAGTCCAGATCTCTGCATTTGCACTTGTGTCTAGTTTATGTGCCCAGCTGTCCCCATCATCATGTCTCCAGTCTCCACCTCTGCTACAGCCTTTGCCCACTGTTTCCAGCTCTAAGTCCTGTTCCCCAGCTCCTTGGTTACTCTCTGGCCCTCCTTGATGAATAAAATACCAGCCCCAATGAGAGAATCATGATAGAATCAGAATCATAGAATCATAGAATGGTTTGGGTTGGAAGGGACCTTAAAGATCATCTAGTTCTAACCTCCCTGCATGGGGAAGGACACCTCAAATCCCTGTCGAAGCTGTCCTTGAACACTGCCAGGGAGCAGGCAACCACAGCTTCTCTGGGCCACATGTTCCAGTGTCTCACCACCCTCACAGTAAAGAATTTCTTCCTAATATCTCTTTGTAGGAGAGGTGCTGCAGCCCTCCTGCGGATTCACTCCAGCAGGTCTATGTCCTTGTGTTGGGTCTCCAGAACTGGACACAATACTCCAAATCGGGTATCGTGAGAGCAGAATGGGGGGTTGATCATCTTCCTTGACCTGCTGGCCACATTTCTTTTGATGTAGCCCAGGATGTGGTTTGCTTTCTGGCCTCCAAGTGCACATTGCTGGCTCATGTTAAGCAAAGACTGGCAAGATTTTAAGAAACTGAGGTCTTTGCACCTGAGACATTTGCGAGTGTTTTTGCCAAAGCTGAGGAGCAATGGGGAGGGGCAAAGAGCAGCTGGGTCACCCACCCTTCCTCACAGCCTAGCTTGAAGGAGAAGCGTTTCCTACTCACTGGACAAAAGCAGACAAGTCCATGTGGCCGACATCACACCATGGGTAGTGCTTGTAGCAGGCTGGGACCCAGTGTGCTAGCAGAGGTGTCACTTCTGCCTGCGTCCTCTTCCAGCCTCTCCAGGTGGGCTCGGGAGAGCTGGGGGGTGGCATGGCTGATGGTGTCACAAAAGCCTCTGTTCCTACCGTTCTGCTTCCCGCTCAGGCCTCCCTTCCACCTCTTCTCCTGCCATCTCCTCTCCTGCCGCCTCCTCTCCCGCCCCGCCGCTGGCCCTGCTCGCTACCGGCCGCCGGGTCAGCGCTGGGGAAGGCAGTGGCGGCTGCTTTCATGAGGTCTGGTTTGGACATGTCCCTCTTCCTCTGGCAGCGGGGTCGGCCCTCCTCCTCGCTGTGCCGCTGGGCCCAAACTCAGTGAAGGCCCCCCCGGAGGTTGTTTGGTTTTACTGGGTTGACACCTGTGACAGCTTTCTGTCCTCCGTGTGTGTCCTGTGGCTTGTGGCCTCGGCCGGGATGTGCCTGACCCTGGCCAGCCGTGTCCTTCATGGGGCACCCTGGGGCCTCTCTCCGTTGTCACAGGAGCTCCGTGCAGCCCATCACCTTCCCGCGCTACGGTTCACTTCTCTTGTTCCTCTTTTGGCCTCATAAGGACTGGGGTACCTCATCAGCCAGGACGCTGCTTGGGGCCTTGGCTTTGTCCAAACGTGGCTGCTACGGAGACCAGCACCTTGTCCCTGTCTGGTGCTCAGTGGCATTTTAATTTTCCCATCTTGCTTAGGGACAGATCTTTACTACACAGCATACAACGTGTCTTTCTGCTGTTTCCCACAACCTGCCTGGGTGTGGGAAATCTTCCCTCTGCCCTTGGGAGAGCCTGGCAACCAATGTCTATTGCAGTACCCTCCTCTGGCACACCACTGAGAAGCCAGTTCAGTTTCTTTCTCATTTTGGAAGGAAAAGATGCTGTTTAACATTTCTTTTTCTTAGGAACACCCAGTCATGAGTAATTTTACACTTGTTGCTAGTGGCATGGTAGGAATGGGACAAAAATGGTGCGATAACATTGCAAAGCTGGCATTCACATGTACAGTTTCTAAGCATTTTCTTCCTGTAGCTTGTGCATTTCTAGGATGTCACAGCCCTAAGCATCTTAAAATGCTGCTGTACAAATACCACTGCACAAATGTAGTGCTAAAAGTAAATGGGTGACCTAATTTTATTTCCCGCTCCCACACAGTGTACATTTGCTCTGAAAAGAGATCCTTGAGAAGTGGGATTTCATGTTGGTCACAAGTCCTCTTGGTGTTCTTGCATAAACAGGTGTGTCTGTGTGACTGGTTTTGTTTTGTGGGGCTTTTTTTTCTCACTGCCAGCCCTGTAAACTCCATCTGGAACAGAGCAGCCAAATTGCCATTTTTCTGGAGCACAGGACAGGAAATTCTGCCTTTGGACTGCTCCTGTTGATAATGCGTGAGCAGAACAAAATCTCTTCTGTCAGCCAGACCTCTGCGTGCCTGGCTGAGCCACTGAGAGCAACTAAGCAAAATATTTCTTTGGTAAAGGCAATAAACAGGATGCCAGACAGACACAGAAAGCAGCCTGTTGTGAAGGTGGCATTTTTCCTCCACCTGCAGAACAGAACTGCATTAACTACTTTATGTTCTCATTTAGTTCACTAGGATGAAAACATGTGTTGAGGAATTGGTATTTTTCTTATACAAAACTCAGTAGGAGGCATTTTTTTGTCTGGAAGTGCAGCAGGAGGAACATCCAGACATTTATGAGAAGGCAGCAAGCTGGCAGGCTGCTCTCGGCAGCATGTGTAGTTGACCCCATCTTTGCTACATGAGCTGGCCCTGATTATTGGACCCAAACAGTGGTGTCATGGTGTGCATGGCAGAACAGACAGGGACCCTGACTCATTTTTCTGGGTGTGATTTTGCTCTGGTCTAGGTTGCTTTTGTCTCCTCAACAGTTACTTTCCTGTAATCTCACTCTACAGCATGGCTACTATGATAGGTATTTGTTACTTCTGTTTTCTTTCCTCCGATCAGGATCTACAGTCCCTGGCTTGGCTTTAACCTCCTGGATGGAGTGAAGAGGAACAGCTTTGTTGCCAGAAGCATCTAAACACAAGACAGCAGAGAGATTGCTCACAAGGTGAGAAACTGAATAGAGCACGTCTGGGAAGGGAGGAGAAGAGCTGAAAGCTGAAAATCTGGCATGTGCTCCATGCTCTGCACTCATGCTGCCTCCTCTGCTCCTATAATGTAGATTCTGCTTTCAGGAAGATTTGTAGGGAGGGTACGATACAGATTAAACACACTGCTGGGGAAATCTTTCCCAAAAGAGCCTATCCAAAATTAAATCAATTCTTGTGTATTTTTCAGGAAAGACTATATTCAGAATGTTACAAGGCATAACTAGCCAAAGCATGGCTTTTTCTGCCTTTTACACTGACAATATTTTTAATGTTTTACTGGTCATTTTGCTGCCTCGAGGTCTGTGCCTTGGCCAAGGCAATGCCTTTATTTGTGCTAGAAATGTTTCTCAGCCCTGAGTGTTGTAAACAAAACTTTGGAAATGAGTATAACCAGTGTGGTGTTTGTCTTCCAAAATCAGCAGATCACCCAAAACAGAATGTGAGGCATTTATCGTGCTGCATTCATCTCATATTCTGACCTCCTACATGCAAGAGGATGATGGTAACTTTGTAAGCAGTGCCATCCAGCACCTCACTCTCCAGCATCCATTCCTGAGGTGTGTTCTCCATATAAGTAATAAACAAACAGAAGCTTCTAAGTGTTTCAGTCTAAATGTTCGTTACCATGCTTGGTTAACAGTTTGTCTTTCCACTCACTTGCCTATCTGTTCTGTAGACAAATCTAGATAAAATTTGCTGCAGACTACATAGGGCTTTCTTTTTAAGGAAGAGGGCTAAGATTGTAAAGAAGAAAGAAAACAGTGTGCTTGGCAGGGTGGATGTTCCTGTAGTGTTGGCTGCTTAGTTTCTTGATTAAGCATGGGAATGCTGGAAGAAGAGTAGTGATTGATAGGCAATGGGAGGAGAAGCAGCTACAGTGGGGGCTGTTGAGTAGACCAGTCATGATGTTCCTCTAACCTCACTAGGCATTGGAACTTTGAGGACAAGGAAGTGACAGTTTTTGTCCTTCATGGCTGTGACTTTATGACAGAGGACCCTCTTTACTGCCCGTCCTTGGGGTCACACTCTGTTCCCACACTCCTCAGTTTCTGAGCCTTCACTCCGCGCAGATGAGATACAAGTGCAGGGGCTGGCTCCCTGCTTGGACTTCTCCCTCAGAGAAGCATGGGGGTTTATTCATTGCTATTTCCTCTGTTCACTCCAGCAGGTGACAGGACCATGGACAACACAGAGAAGGGCAAGCTTCATCAGGAAAATCCTTTCAGAGCTAAACTGCCTCTGTTCCCCTCCAGAAAGCTGACAGGAGATACTCTCCAGGATACCCATCAAAGACAGGTCTGCAAGCAAGAGCTGGAGACAGAAAGTGTGGTGGCAGCATCTTTTGGAAAGAGACAGGGAATGATAACTTCTTGTGGGATGGAGGTCTGGGGGTGCGAGGAGAGTGGTAGAGCGCACATCAGCAAGGTTATCCTTGCTGTGGATGAGCCAGATCCACCAATGTGTGGGAACAGTGCCATTTGGATTCAGCAGGTGGGAGAGAAAACTTACCAGTGTCCTGAGTGTGGGAAGTGCTTCAGCCGGAGCTCATACCTAAGCCAGCACCAGAGGATCCACCTGGCGGAGAAACCCTTCAGCTGCTCAGAATGTGGGAAGAGCTTCACCCGCAACTCAGACCTAATCAAACACCAGCGAATCCACACCGGTGAGAAGCCCTACCAATGCAATGAGTGTGAGAAGACCTTCAGTCAGAGATCCAACGTGATCAGGCACCAGCGGACCCACACGGGAGAGAGACACTACCAGTGCAATGAATGCGGGAAGAGCTTCAGTCAGAACTCACATCTCATTGTTCACCAGCGAAGCCACAAGGGTGAGAAACCCTTTAATTGCCCCCGGTGTGAGAAAAGCTTCAGCGACCGCTCCTCCCTGATCATACACCGCAGGGTCCACACTGGAGAGAAGCCCCACAAGTGCCAGGAGTGTGGTAAGCGTTTTCGGGACAGCTCAGCCATTATTCGGCATCAGAGGATCCATACAGGAGAGAAACCATATGAGTGCACCGAGTGCGGGAAAACCTTCCGGCAGAGCTCCTCGCTGGTGACCCACATGCGAACGCACACGGGCGAGAAGCCCTACAAGTGCCCCGTCTGCGGGAAGGGCTTTAGCCAGAGCTCAGCACTCACCACTCACCGCCGGATCCATGGGGGGAAGGCCTTGCCCATCTACCACAGCAGCCTCCTGCCAAACCCCTACCAGTGTGCCGAGTGCGGCCGGAGGTGCAGCGACCGCTCCGCTCTGGCCAAGCACCAGACCACGCATGCCGAGGAACGGCCCTACATCTGCGTGGAGTGCGGGGACAGCTTCCGTCGGAGCTCAGCTCTCGACGTGCACCTGAGGATCCACCGCGGGGAGAGACCTTACAAGTGCGAGGCGTGCGGGAAAACATTCAGGCACAGCTCGGCCCTCGGTGCCCACCTGAGGATCCACGCAGGAGACAAGCCCTATGAGTGTGGTGAGTGTGGGAAAAGCTTCCGGAAAAGCTCAACGCTTAAAGTGCATTTGAAAATCCACGTGGCCAAGAAACCTTACAAATGTGCGGTGGGTAGGAGGATGCTCGCTTCCCGCTCGCTTCTGCCGTAGGGCTGAGTGGGTGTTCGGGAAACATAAGCATTATTTGGGGGCAACTGAAAAAGGTGGGTGATGAGAACCGTGGTGGGAAGAGACTGACTGCAGATGTGGTGACTCTGGTGTCAGGGCTGGGCGCTGTGTGGCACAAAATCCATTAGGAGGTCTAGACACAGGGAGTTAGTCTTCAGATCTGAGCACTTGGTGGTTTAGGAAGAGTGGCGAGAGCCTGAGGAGTGGGCACCAGCTTCTGGGTTAATTGGGGGCCTGTGAATATGTGGTACAATATCGAGTGGGAGAATCAGGCTTGTAAAATAACTTTTCAGCTGAAGTGAAGATTAAAATAAAAGGTTCCAGGTTGGTTCTGACTCAAAACTTCAGCTTGTTAAACACTGTACTAGTCTTAGGAACTCCCTTTTTTACCACCCTCTCTTATCTTTCATTAATGTTTACCCAGTGTTTGACAAGGCACTTCCAGATCTTCTCAGGCTTTGGAGCTGAACTTCAATCTACTTGTCTTTTCTCTCTGTTTTCCAAATCTTACATGGGACAATTAATTCCTACCTCTGCCTACACAAAGCCTGGGTGATGTGGTAGCTGAGTAACACAGAACTGCCATGGCTGTTCCCAGAAAGCAGCTATGCACAAGCATTTCCAGTTGGAATCCAGCCCATTCCTAGTCTGTGGCAGTTTCTCCCAAATTTGCCCTTGCTGGTTTGATGCCACTTCCAACTTGGGACATCAATAAAACGTGGGCAAAAAAATGTGGCCTTACCTTACTTAACCAAAAAAAAATACTTCCCCCTTGCCCTGAGATGTGTCAGAACTGGTACCCTGCGAGTTTCTTCTGGTAGTCCAGAGACTGTTTGCAATTTTGTAGTCCTTTTTATGATACTCTTCTTTAGCTTTCTTATTGCCTGTAAAGTATTAACATACAAAGTCAAGTGTCAACAGTTAGGAATTGCTATAATTGCATTTATCACTATGCTAATGACTGTGTATTACATAAACCTCCCTCTATACCGCTATGTTTTGTTACTAGCTATGTGTTTCCATCCTCAATAAAACCTGGTTTTCCCCGTACGATCTGGTTTTCTGCCCTTGCGTATGATGAGAGGGAAACTGTAACCAGGGGCCGGCCCCGCACGCAGTTTGGTGTGGCGAGGAGCCTGTGACCAGAGAGAAGAGGACGAGGAGCAGCTGCTGCGGTGGCCAGGCTGGGATTTCTCAGAGCCCAGGGCTCATCATAGAATCGTTTGGGTTGGAAGAGACCGTCACGACTGAGTCCAACCACTCACCCGGCCCCGCCAGGTCCACCCACCGCTAACCCACCCCCCTAAGCACCACATCTGCGTGGCTTTCGACCGCCTGCAGTGCAGGTTCGGTGACCCCGCCGTTCCTTCCCCCGGAGCACCCGCCGCAGCGCCCGGCGGCAGCTGGC